ACAAAGTTCACAAGCAGAAAAAAAAAAAGGATAAAAAGAATTTTTTCTCCATCTGACATTATTTCAGCTCTTTCCTTTTCTAACAGCCTTAAGTGTTTCTGTGAGCTTTTCCAAAGGAAAATAAGAGAGAAATATAAAATCATGTCCACACAATGAACTGAAACGAACAGAGTATAAAGGGAACAGATGCTTGTTTCATTGCTGCAATATTCGGGATGGGGGCTGGGGAACAGACTGGCAGCTACAACTCTAAGGTAAAGGGTGAGTCAAACTCACACTGACATCTGTTAATATGCATTTCACCAGCATATATAATCTTTCCAGCCTGTTTTTCGGGAATACAAATTATCCTGTCCTTCTAATCATGGACACCCAACATAACTGGTACAAGGAGAATCAAACCAATCCTGTCACAGTATAAAGAGGGGGAGTAAGTGGTTCAATGTAACCGTATTAAAAACAAATTGAAAAGATGAAAACCCTGCCTAAACTTAAGGCAAAAGTATGTGATCAAGCCAAGACGTCCCATGAGTTTGGGAAGTGCTCTATGTCTCAAACTCTCAAGGACTTAGGAAGAACATTCCCAGCACTTCTGTAATTCATTTATATATCCACATACTTCAGATGCAGGATTGGTCACATCCCTCCACTTTAGTCTGCACAGAAAACAGCTCTACATCAGAGAACATGTTCCAGAAACTCAATCGATTTGAGCTCCAGTGAGGGATTTCTAGCAGTTTGGTCTATATGGACACACACTGAATGCAAGACTTGGGTTTTCTTTCTAAAACGTGCCATGACAGCTTATCTAGCTAGCTGCAACGCCACTGTCAAACCTGGGACCAAATGTGAAACAGGTGTAATGCTACTGATAACCAACTGCATCGTGAAGTCATCACCTTTAAGAAGGAAAGCGTACCAGCTCACCAAACTGCTTCAGGGAGGAAAATAAGTGTCAGCTATAGGCGTAGCTAACATGGCAAGAAGATGGCCAGTTTGATCCCATTATATCATAAAGTTCACATCAATTCATTTGAAGCTACAATAAAAAACTAAACAGGGAGAGGAAAATTTGATCGTGTCCTACTCTTGTTTCCTCCATATATATATGATGCTATACGGGTGGACAAACTCCTTTCCGGTGCAGTTCTTGCAGATGCTAAAGCCGACTCTTTAATGTTCCTCTGGAGAAAAAAGGTTCTTCTCTCAGACCACCATATTATATTCTACAAACTATTTTGCAGCTTGCGAGTAAGAGATACTCGCAGAGTGCACTCATTAACCGTTATCCGACATTCCAACTTCTCAGGGTAGCTGGGCCCACAAAGCCAAAAATCTGAAGCTGTTCTCAACTGAGAGAAAAGGGGCTGATGAGGTTGCCTGTGTCAGAAAAAGTTTGTTGTCAGCCAAACAGGGGAGGTACCTGAAAGCCAAGAGCCGCTTATCAAGCAATCAACAAATCAATTCAAAAATCCACAAACAACACCCAAAGTAGGACACATTTTAAAACCTGATTTTTTATTTTGGAAGAGCAATGGGCCATGAACATTACATAGATCATCTGAATAGAACCGTTTTTCCTAACAGGACAGGCTGCTTTAGCTGTTGCGTGAAAGCTGCCAGAGTCCTTTATTTATCTCAGCCTTGACACAGCCTGCCTCCTGTAAAGAAAATCGTGTGATCAGAGATAACATTCTTGCACTGAACTGCTCCTCGCCTGCATGAACGTGTCCTTCTCTGTTTCCTGATTTCGGCAACCTTGGGGGTTCCTGGAAGCCCTGAGAAGCTCCTCTTGGAGAGAATTCCATGTATATCTTCCCCCAGGACTACTTTGCTCTCCAAAACCTACAGATTAGTCCCATGAGCTAGATAAAGTCTTGCTCGGGTTGCTTCCTGAGATAACACTTGCTGAAGACACAGGAC